ACACACAGACATTGTAGTTACAACGTAAGGTTTTTTAAGAGCTTTAAAATGACTAGTGGCAATAAAAACTGAGAGAGAGAGTGTAAGAATGTGTCCATTTACAGGTTCACTCTGATTCACCGTAGGGGAAATTTGGGGCTCAGTCTTGACCTGAGGACTCTGCCATGCAGACCAGGAGAGCAGGAAATCAAACCATGGACCCACAGGGCCCCCCTCAGGCCCATGAATCTATACGTTTGTGTTTAAAATCACGTAAATAATCAAAAACGTAATTTTATCTTCTTCAGTTACTGTAAAAATAAAAGGCTTCTTTCTTCTGTAAACATAATCAATGAACCGACGCTCTGACTGTAAATAAAGTTTGGAACAAACCGAAGGCCCAAGAAAGTGCTTCCTGTACATTTGGTTTGTTTCCTGTTCAAGATTTTCATTTTTCTGTGAATTTAAATTTAAAAAAGAAAAGTGTTTCAATCATCGAGCAGCTCAATCAATATGAGCCCAATGCTTCCTGTCGCCGCTGTCACAGAAATGTTTAAATATCTGTGTGTTGTTTAAACGTTGCGTGAGTAGGTCGTCCTGAACGTGAGTGTTTCTGAGTTTTTCTTTGAAATGAGGCGAACAGATTTTATTGAGTCGATTTATTTGGAGAGAAACTCGAAACATTTCAAGCATTTTGTTTCTGATGACGAGAATCAGCATCTTCCACCTGACAGCCGAACGTCTCGATTTTACTTCGCAGAGACAATTTTTCCAATGCTGCCACCGACCAATCACAGAAACGAGAGCTACAAACGCCGCGTTCATTGTGAGTCTGACTGCACGTGCTCAGTGTTACAAGGCAAGTGAGGAGACATCAGAGAAAGTTTTCACTTTACCTGTGTGGGTGTAGCCACAGGGGGCGGGGCTCCATCCTCCCCCTGGCCCCACTTCTGGTACTGCTTGTAACCAAGGTAACCACCACCAGTCACCAATAGGAAGGGCAGGGGCCGGGGGCCCGGCAGAAGACCACGTCCTGAAGAGACGATGAGAGCCGATTGGACTACAGAGATTACATCATCCACAAACAAACAACAGCTGAAGAGCTCTGTCTTCTCCAGTTTTGGGGTGGGGGGCTCACCTGTGCTGAAGCGTCTGCAGCTCAGAGAGAAAACTCTGAAAAACAGGAAGGACACTCAAACTGATCAATCAGATCACATCAGTGATCAATACCTGCGACGTTCAGCGTCAGAGAGCACAGGTATCGCCCCTAGTGGACACCTGACACGTTCAGTGGCTTTAAATGAACGAGACACTTAAAATTCTGGTCTTTCTGAGTTTCAGAAAACAAAGATGCTGAATGGTTAATGACTCATTACCGAAAGCGACACTGAAAAGCTTAAAAAGAATGTATGTGTGTGAAGGTTCTCAGTCATCCAGGTCATCGTAGTCCAAAAAGCTTCCTCGGCTCTTCCTTTATAAACAACTGAGATGAAGAACAAATAAATACCTGCCGCTGCTCCATACCCTCCGAAAAGCCGCCGCCATCTTGTGTTTCCGGACGTGACGTATGACGTTGTGCGTAAGAGCACTACTGGAACGAAGCCCCGCTCCCCCTTTGTCCCACGTGAGGAAACACAATTATTTCGGTTTATTCTTGATTAAAAAGCGTAAACGATCATAGACGATTTATTGATTTTAAGATGTAATTATTGTTCAATTACGTAACATCCTGATAGCCAAACATGCTCCCCCTCTGGACCCTACTACTTCACCTAAAGAGCAAACGGGTGTCCCGATCACCTGGAACAGCTGGGACAGATATGTCAGCGGGCTCTTCATCCACTACAGCTCCGCCTTCAAAACGCCCCCCTCTCCACCTGCTCGTACTCACCGACCGCCCACAGAAGGTCAAACTGAGCCCACAGCTCGACACCTGCTCACTCTAGCAGCACCACAGTGGATTCAGATTCACACTGCTGCGGTTCATCCATAGACAGGAAGTAAGCCAGAAACCTCTGAGGGGCTTTAATGTTTAGAGAATCGGCGGATCAGTGACGTTAACCCTCAGCCTGCTGGTGTCTTATCGAAGTGACATGGTGTGAGTCACGTGGTGTGAAGGTGTAGTTTATTATTGGTGTGAAATCAGTGAAAATCTTAACTAGCAACCAGCCAACAACATAATCAGTGTAAACAGACTGAGGATTATTGATTATCTGGTTATTATTTGGTGTGAGACCTTGAGAGTTTATGAAAACTGTCAATTTTAATTACTTGTTTGTGAAAATCTGAGTAGATACAAAGAAGGAAACAGTGGTATCAAACATACGGCCTGGGCAGGGCCGTGCAGAAACGTTTAAAGGGGCGGGGGCTCAAAGTTAAAAAGGGGCACATTGAACCAGGCTGAATAACAACAACACACATTCATCAATAATCTAATATGGGA